TCCTCCCGGCGCCGGGCATCCCTGCCTGCCCCCCCCCCACCAACTGCGGAGACAAGTGGCAGCAGGGTCCTAGCCCCTACCTATCTGTGACCCAGGGTGCGTCATCCTGGTCTGAAGCCAGAAAAGGTTGACTACCCCTGCTCTACAGCATTTGCTACTTGCCATTTGTCAGAGATAGGACACTGGATTAGATAGACCATTGTTCTAACCTAGCAAGACAAGGTTGTGTGAATCTCATATCTTTTATTAGACCAACTTAACCTACACCCCTTTAACTTAGCAAGGCACTTATGTTCTTATGTCCCTATTTAATATGGGCTACTTGGCGCTGCTGTAAGGTTCATGATAATATTTTGGAGAGGGAATGTTTAGCATTTATTTTCCCCTGTGGGAATTAGTTATCATACGTCTACAACACCAGATTGAAAGCAGGAACTCATACATTCTTCCTCAAACTGAATAAACTGAAAGCATCTGTGATCAAAATTCATCATGATAATATAGCCAGCTGTTAGGATCTGGAGAGTTAATAAAATTACATATGCTGGAGAAAGAATCTTCCAGTAGGAGTGTAATTAATTTACAATCACAAATATGGAATCATCAAGTGAGCAAAAGAATTGTTTTAACAACAAAAAGCAACTGTAAAATTGTAACTCCTGTGAAGTCAGAGGCAGATTTAACATTGCAAAGTAAAGGAAAAACAATTTAAGACAATCACTGTTTAATATTAATAGAGCACTCATTACTAGCTTCTCTTTACTAAATATGCCAGAATTTAGTTTAAAAATGACAGCTGCTCAAGGTTCTAACTAGCAGAACATTTACAGAGCAGACCTATGATACAGCCCTGAAATCTAGGCATTAAAATTAAAGAATCCAGGCAGACTTCTGTTTATCCATTATTACCATATTCTAGATATTGAAACTAACTAAGCCCTTAAAATAAAACAGCAATCATGTTGTCCTTCAGATGGGCATAATACTGGAAGGCTGCTAAAATTACCTTCTAAACTTTTTTATTCTGTTATATATGCCATATAAGTACCTTCTAGAACCACTATAAAGTGGCTGTTTGTAACTTCCAAACATCTGTTTTCTGTCCTTTAAAATCTATCTATCTATCTATCTGTCTATCTATAACTGAGATAAACTTCAGTAAACAAAATCTTAGTCATAAGCAATTATTTTTTAATGAAAGAGTTTAGTCTATTTCAAGTTCCATAAGGGGTAAAATAAGTGGTTTATCAGGTTTGCATACTTCTGCAAAATGGAATTTAGCAGATGATTAGCTCATAACGTAATTACTTTTTTGTAATTCCCAGCTGCTGCACACCATTCTCTAGAAGGATATCTACAGTGTACTCATTATTACTGATCCATAATATGCAAATGAGTCATTATTGTGATAGCATATTAGAAAAGATATGCAGAATTGTGCAGCTCAAACCTCAGTGACACGATTCATGCATAACATGCATTCACAGCACACACTCAAGAACAACTGTAGAGGAGACCACTTAAGTATCTTTTGCATAATAATACAAAATTAAACTAAACTTTATCAAATCTATTGACATATCTGTTCCCAAACCAGATCCTATAGTCCTGAAATAAGCTCTCTGAGTCCCTCACTGTACAGTCAATACCACACATGCATTCATGCCGAGAAAGCCCACCATACTTAAAGAATATAAAACCACAAGAAAAACAATTCAAGGCTAAAACTTACATTTCATCCCTAGGTAACCTTCTGCAATCCTGAAGTCAAGATGCAAAGCCCTTGACTTCACTGCGGCCTCTTACTGGTTCAGAGGTCCATTGATGACCAGTTTTTTATAGGATATGGGTTCTTACGAATGTGCTGCACGCGTGTTGCAGAGGAGGCTTCAGAAGGCATTTGGCCTGTATTGAAATCCTTAAAAACTCTGCCACAGAACTCAAGGTTACCATACATCTGGATTGTCCCAGATACGTCCTCTTTTTGGGTCCTCCAATCTCCATCCAGGCAGTTTTTTAACGAATCAACAAATGTCCGAGATTTTGCTCGCTTAACATCAAAGTTTTTCCCAGCGCTTCCCTGCTTGCCCTAGTAAGGAGCTGCTTGGGGCTGAGGAGAGTGGGGGAGGGCGATAGGAGCCAGGGGGTATCATGTGTGTCTGCATGTGCACACACGTGTCTGGCATGCAGCCAGGTAGGGTGGTCGGAGGAGCCCTGGCAGCTGGATGCAGGGAAGTCTATGGGGAAAGGGGTTGGAGGGCCAGGGCTTGAGGACTGTTGTGTGGGCGGGGAGGGGCAAGGGGGGCAGGAGAATGTGGAGGGGATGGGTGCATGACGGGGGTGGTACCTGCTGGCACTGGGGGAAGCTGTCTGGGCTCTGGGGCTGAAAGTGGGGGGAGGGGGGGGAAGGCAGGGAAGGTAGCTGTCCCTTCAGCGGGGGCAGGGAGCTGCATGCCCAGGCTGGTGGTACCGGGGTCAGTCCCTGTGCTGCAGGGTGGCTGGGAGACACTGCAGGGCCGGGGGGAGCAGTGGGTTGTGGGTTGGGAGTGAGAGACACCAGCAGGGCTGGGGGGTGGGCAGGGCTGTGGCTTGGGAGTGAGGAGCACCAGTGGGGCAGGAGACTGTGGGTTGGGAGGGTGGGGCACAGGGAGTGCCAGGAGGCTACAAGTCGGGCGTGAAGAGTATCAGCAGGGCTGGGGCTATAGCTTGGGAGTGAGGGGCATGGGCAGGACAAGGGCATATCACTGCTCCCCCCATCATATTTCCAGCCCCCTCTGCAACAGGTGGCCTCTGTTTTGAAACTGGAAATATGGTAACACTACAGAACTAGTCTTATACCACTGAGTCACAAAGGTATAGTCTATGCAGATACAGAGAAATACATAAAAAGTTAATATTTTTCCAAATGTTATTGTGTGTACATAGTAACGAGCGGGGAATACAAGATTACATTCCTGCAAACATTTACACATGTGCTTCTCTTTAGGACTGAGTAGTTCCAACATAGCAGGGAAAGCCTGAGAGGGGAGATGGGGTGAAGAATGTGGGACTATATATGGGAAATCGCATACTAGTTTTATTAGGGCTCAGAATGGCACTTGGAGGCCTCGACACCCCACCCTCATAAATCACAATGCTTTAACGTGAAGTGGAAGAGCACTGTGCTGACCTTTTGTGGAATGTGGATTGGCTGCATAGATACTTATACATTTAGTCAGAGTTCAGTAAATGGAATGGATCTATATGATACTGAGAACCAGATTTGGTGGTATTTTATTCATAAGACTGGATAGCCACTGAGTCTTGTTTTCTATGCATCGTTATAGGAAAGGCAATGATTTCTTAGCATGATATCTTTTATCGGACCAACTATGTTGTTGGGATAAAGTTAGACAGGTTTCTGAATGCAAGATGATCACAAGTTTGCCGGACTTTTCCCCAACTACATAGTTGGTCCAATAAGAGATATCACCCTAAAAAATCCTTGCCTCTTGCATACTTTCTGGACCATCACAGCTACAATATCACTCTTACACTATCATTATAGGAAGGAAGTAGGAATTCTGTATGCTCGCTGGTTGGAGTTCATGTTTTTCCCCAGTTGTCTAATTGAGTAACTATCCATAGCTGTATCGCTACCTCACATTACTTGACTATTAATTTGCAACAATTTTAGAAATCTATTTTACTTTTTGCTCCATTTAACTTTTAATTTTTTTGTATGTACAATGAAAAACCCAGTTTCTCTTTCAGGTGTCCAATAGCTAGAGCTAAGAAGACTATGCAAGAGGCTATATTTAGGCACTTCAGTTCACATGTGGTGGAAGGCATGGATAATTTTAGTTATATTTTTTAAGATAAAGCAGCTGTGTTCTGACCAAGAGCTAGGCTGGGACCCAAATTGCAGCTCCAAGAATCCCACCCAGTTACACACCATAATCTGTAAATAATTCCCCCCCCCAAAAAAACAAAAAACGAAACACAAAACCCCAACCAAACAAAACCCAACCAACTCCAACCCTTGCTGTTGGCTTAGAGAGATATTGCCAAGAAATTATTCTGTTTTAGTGCAGCCTTCCACGGCTCCACAGACTGGATGAAGCATATTGGACACAAAGCCTGCCCAGGTTTTTGTAGAAGGCAGGGTCGATTTGCACCTTATGGCAAGGGGAAGGCAACTTATTTTTCCTGGGATGTTAAGATGATGGATAGGTGCGAGATTGTATGCATTTCAGGTGAGAGCTCCCTCTGAGGGGGGCCAGGGCCATTGGGCTCCCACCTACCCAGTACCTCTGCCTTACAGGCCAACTAAATCAGAGGTGCCCAGCACACGCTTTAGGAGGCAGCAGGCTTGCTTCCTCAGATGCTGTGAGGAGCCTGCAGCTCCCATGTAGTTGGCTCGAGGGCTCTCAACCTTTAAGACGGGAGGCCCCCCTGCCTCGACTGGAGGCTTTCAGAAGATGCCGGCTCTCGCTCTTTTTCTGAGGGCAGAAAAGTGACGGAGCGATTCTTCCGCTGCAAATAGCTCAGAGGCCACCACGCCGGACTGCTATGGGAAACCTCCGGGCTTCTCACCGTGGCCCCGTGAAAGGACCTCAGGGCAGCCGGGCTGCGAGGGGCGCCCGGACCGCCAGCTCTTCTCGCACTCGGCTTCGGGCGCTCGGGACGGGACGGGACGGGACTGTGAGCACCGGCGCCTTGCCCCCGCTCCGTGGAAGGGCGGCGGCGGCAAGCGCAGAAAGCGGAGGAAGGGGAGGGGAGGGGAGCGGAGCCGCGCCCCATCCCGGCCGCGCAGCTCGCTCGTTCGCTGCCTCTCCTTCTATGGACACCAGAATGTCTGACGTCACCCGGCTCTGGGAAACTGCTGTCCGCGCAACCAAACTTGGTCGGGAAAAAAACTGGGAGGCGAGGGGCGGTGGCTTGGAATGCTGATGGACGCGGCGCCGTGCCATTGGGCGCGGCAGGAGGGTCCCGCTATTGGGCGAGAGCGCCGAGGGGGCGGAAGAAGCTGAGAGGCGTGAGGAGGGGTAGGTTGCGCCGGGGGAAAGCTGCCGCCTGGCTGCGGAGGGAACGGAGCTGAGCCGTGTCGGTGCTGCCGGGACGTGTCTGGGACCGTGAGTTCGAGTCCCGCCGCAGGCCCCCGGGCCGGCACCGCAGCGGGGTCTCCGCGTGCGGCAAGCACTTCGCCAGGAGTTCGCGAGGAGTTGGGGCTGCGGCCCCCCGCCCGCCGCCACCATGCCAGTCTTCCACACCCGCACCATTGAGAGCATCCTGGAGCCCGTGGCGCAGCAGATCTCGCACCTGGTCATCATGCACGAGGAGGGCGAGGTGGACGGCAAGGCCATCCCGGACCTCACCGCCCCGGTGGCCGCTGTGCAGGCCGCCGTCAGCAACCTGGTCCGGGTGAGTGCGGACGGCGCCCCCAGCCCGCAAACTTCGAGCCTGAGCCTGAGCCTGGCGCCGGGAGCGACCCTTGCCCTCCCGTCCGCTCCCCGCGGCCAACCTCCTGGCCGTGTGGGGGCTGGAGCCAGGCCAAGCCTCCTCCCCTCTGCGGGACTGGGTTAGGGCTTCCTGAAGCCCCCTTTCCTCCCCCCAGCAGGGCCACAAGAAGCCCACGTCCTCGGGTGGGGCTGGGCTGCCCTCACCCGCCTCTGTGCTTGGATGGTGCCCACTGCACGCACCCCGCGCCGGAGGCAGGTGGCTGCCTGGCCAGCTGGGTAAAAAGCTTGAGCATCGCTGTTTCGTTGACATTATGGAGGAAAAAAAGATGCCTCATCAAGTCTTTGTGTCTCTTTATAACTGAGTCCAAATGCTGGTGCTGCCTTCATGGGAAACTATTTGAAAACCAAACAAACAACACCCTACCCCCCCTCGTGTAAATCATGAATGCTTTTGAGTTTTATTTTTGGTAGAGAAAGTTGCACTGTTAGAACTGTGAATGGAGTGGGGTTGGGGTTGAGTCAGGACTGTTTCAGAACAACAAGCTGGGATTGTGTTTTTTAAGAATGAGTTACCACTTGCCAGAATGCTAAACGTGCCTAAGGATAATTGAGAGGCAATTGGGATCTCTTGACTTTTTTTCAGTGTTACCTTTGCAGCACCAGAGCTTTTCAGATTTAGATACATCTTAGTTGCCAGTACATGTGCAAACCTTTTAATCATTTGAATTGAAGTTAGAACAGTGGTACTGAACTATCCAAAGGAAAACTGTTGGTGGGCAATAAACTGGCTCATTCTGCCTTGTAAAGCACTGGGCTGCTTTATACTTCCTATCTCCACAACTGTCTAAAAGATCTCATGCATCTTTCCTTCACACAGCTCTAGCTTCATTTGTAGAAAAAATGATTTACTCCCATAACCCACAAATTGTTTGTTTTTCATCATTAATCTTGTAAGATCTGATTTTTCTAAGTATTGGTTTGTTGTTCTTCCACTGAGACTGATTTTTATGCTAGTTTTACATGGTTGTAGCTAGCCTTTGTAACAGAGAAATGCCACCTGGAAATGTTAACTTGGTTAGCACATAGCAATTTACATTCATTCTGTATGCTATATCTAAGTTAATGGTGTAGGCTGTATAGCATGATTTAGCATTTGCAGTTATAATTATGGTAAATACAGAACTGACCTAATGGTTGACATCACAGAGGTAGGGGATATTGGGGGAAAACATGGCAGGAAGGCCACTATTAAGGATGTAAGACTTATTTGAATTATACCCCTCATGCAGTATTTATTATAGTGGTATTGGCCAGCCTTCTCTAACTTGGATGTTTTGCAAACCCTGTTACTGATGGGCAGCTGGGTTTGGTTGTACCCAAGATTCTTTTCCTGTTTTATTTTTATGCTGGTGATGTACTGTCTGGAATACTTCTGCTCTTGGCCAAGCTTTTTCTAATGACACCTAGCTGCAGAGTAACCCATGCCTCCTCTGTCGGTTCACTAGCAAATTGCCTGTCATGAATGGGGGGGGGCAGGTGGGAGTGGAGCACTGCTACCCAGTGCCCCACAGTGCCACCACTCTGCCCCCAGCCACATGGCCCCCCAACCCCCCACATCCCCTGCTCCTGTGTGCCCATGGGGGGAGGGCACGCCTTGGATGCAGCGGTGAGGCCAGAGCCGGGGGGGTGAGGCCAGTGCTGTGCCGCCAGCACCGAGTGTCATCGCCGCCTCCAGGGACCAGGGCTGGGGAGGGGGGTGGCTTTGCCACCCACTCCTGCCCCTCAGTCCTGCTCCATCAACTCTGTCTGCCTCCAAGGAGCAGGGCTGGGGGAGGGGAAGAGGCCAGTGCTGCTGGCTTTGCCTCCACTCCGGCTCCTCTATTCCCTGCCCTTATGGCAGCACTCTGCGGGTGTGTGTGTGTGTGTGCGCGCGCAGAGCACTCCGATTGGTTGTGTCAGTCAGCATTGTGATTGGTTGCCTTGGCAGCCAATCAGAGTGCAAATGAAGCATTAGGGACAGACAGACAAACACACTAAGGCTTTTATTATATTAGAACTGTGAGTGAAGGATTTGGTTATATAAGTCTAAGGAGGGGAACACAGAATATATGATACAGTTAAACTCAGATTTTCCTTTCATAGAGAAATTTACATTTGAAGCTTGTTTTAATAACCCTGAGCTAATTTTATATTGTCTGGCAATGCAGTCATCTATGGAAAGAGCTTTATCTGGATAAAATAAGGAAAGCAAGTCTCCTAGCTTACTAATGCCAAATCTTTAATTTTGGGCTATGGCTTTGGAATACATTCAGGCATTATTTAAAAATATGTATCCATTAGCTAAATGTGGTTTTACAAGTATTCTTCCTTCCATTTGACCATCTTTGGCATGCTTGGAAAAAGGCTGAATAAACTGAAATGGCAGTACTAGTCAGAGATATTCCTCAAAAGAGTTGTCTTATCTCTTTGTGTTCCACTGAACCCTGTCTACACTATGGAGTGAATATAGAAAAATAGTTCTATCAATTCCTGATGTTAGTTTTTTTTGTATAACTTCTAAGTGTAGAGGTCAGCAGTCTGCCTGTATTCTTCATCTTCTGAAAGTGGGAATGCTTGTATACACAAGTTGTCAGCAGTTGCTAGCACTGTAATCATAGGTTTTCCTTGACTAGCTCTGGGCTTCATTATACTGCACTGGTAAAACTCCAGCAACTGGTCTGTGCTGGTATTTCCATTACATTTACAATTGATTAAACTGTATTTAGATATTTCAGAAAAATTTTAACAAAGCATATAAAGGCTTAGACCCAGAATATTTGACACTTACCCAGTGCGAAGAGAAAACATATGATCCGGATTGAATAGTATAGACAAAATGTCACCAACCCAAATGCATGACTAGTACTTTGAGTCCTCTTCCCTAGACTAAATTAGAGCAAGTCTAGAAGCCATTGTGCTTAAACTTCATGTGGCTGTCACAACAACTGTTGCTGAAGTGATTGAAAAATTTGAGTAAAGCACACAATTTGTACAGTGTTTTTGAAAATGCATTAGGTTGGGAAGCCCTGATGGTTTAGTTCTTCTGTCCCTATGCCAAAGAGCAGTCTTGCGTAGTTTCTTGACTACTAGGTTGTGTTTGTTGCACTACCCAAGACACAATCCATATTGTGCATTGTAACCACAGTGCAGCAGACAAGTATTCTTACATGGATATCTTCCATGGTTCATAAATCACCCTGTATAAAGCCTCTGTCTACTATTCCTTTTCCTGCTGGAGGATTCAAATGGAGTTCCTGCTTTATTGGACTTCTGATCTTTGTGGGGTGGAGAAGATGGTAGGGCAGGGTGTTTTGTTTTACTTACTGGGAAGACGGATTATATTTAAATTACTGAAAGCTTTGTAAGTTCAGAATCTCTAGTGATTTGATAGTGTAAGGGTTACACAGGCAACTCAGTCAACAGTGGGGACTGATCCCTGATGGGATATTATGAGAAGTTATTGTGAAACCAACACCAAACACCAGGAGGTCAAATTCCTGATCTAAATTTATATATGTAAAATGAATCAACTGCCCCTGATAAGGCATCTTATTTCATGTTAAATGTCCAACATTTGATATTGTCTGTGTCCCCTGGAATGTGAATGAACTGAGGTTTACTTTTTCAGTGCTATATTTTGTTAACAGATGTCAGGCCTGGAACAACATGCAAAAAGTATTCTTAAAGCCAACCTTTGATAAAACATCCAAGAAGTTACTTGCTGGAACTCATGTTGTGCATCAGTGCAGTGCTCAAAGCTCCTGCATAATTTTTGGAGGAAAAATACTAGCATAGTATTTTCATGGGGGAAACTGAGACAGTAATGGAAATGTTCATTTCATATCAGGTATGCTAAATCTGAGGCAGGATATACCCTTTTATTTTAAAGGTATCTGTTTGTTTGCTTCAGTCTACAATGCTGCAGGTGGTTGACATTCATAGCATTTTCTTTGCAATGGGAGAGCTTAAACAATAAAATTGAAAGTAGAGGTGCACTGATGCATCAGTCCCATATTGTATCAGAACCAATAAAAGGAAAATTGACATTATCAGCAATTGGGACTTTTTTTGGCCGATGTGCTCGATTAGTGTTCCTGATAAATGCTGCGTGCATGTATGCAGCCGAAGGGCAGCATGCAGGCAGCCAGGAGCGCAGCCTGACAGTGTGGAGAGCAGTGTCCAGCTGGTAAACCAGCTGTGGGGGGAAGGGGGTATGGGGGAGGGAAGGAGCATGGGTGGGGGCAGACCGAGGCCCCAGTGGTGAGGGAGGGAGCGACTGGTGCTGGCACTGAGGCAGGGGCAGGGGCTGCACCGCTGGGGCGGGTGTGAGGCGGAGCCACAAGTGGCTCATCCAGGGAGTGTGGGGGGGAGGCGGCTTCTGCTGCTATGTGCACCCCGGGAGTGCGTGGGGGTCATGTGCCCCCCAGATCTGTGTGTGGGGTGGGCACAGCCCCGGCCCAGTCCACCGTGCTGGGAAGAGCTCAGTGCCGCTCCTGGCCTCAGCCTGCAGCAGTAGCCTGCCCTCACCCTGTGCACAGATTCAGGGAGCACATGCCCCCCATGCCCTCCCAGGGTGCCTACAGCAGTGGGAGCTGCTGCCCCTGCGCCCCCCCCCCCCCCCCAACGCTCCCCGGATCAGCCATTGCTCTGTCCCATGCCCCGCCTTGGCACACCCTGGCTGTGCAGCCCCTGCCCCAGTGCCAGCCCCACTCTCTCCCTCACCGTGGGGGGCCTCAATCTGCCCATCCCCACTCCCCTTCTTTCCCTCCTTGCTGCTTCTCCCACAACAGACTTACCAAGCTGCTGGGCCACATAGCGGCAATTGGATTGGTATCAGCCAGTATGGCTAGTTAAAAATTGGCCATCAGTATCGGCCCAAAAAATGTCTATTGGTGCACCCCAATTGAAAGTTTTAAACTTAAG